AATCTGCACTCAATTGCTCTTAAAAGAAGAAGATATACTTTATTATACTCTTCCTGAAAGTGTCTTTCAAACAGAATCTTGTGGACTGAAATGAAAATGAGAGAAACAAAATTGAATTGAGAGAAACGAAATTGAAGGTATATAAAGAGTTGCATTTATAGTGAAGCTCAAATTCAGTTTAATTTATGAGATGATATCTGGCTGAAAACAAAAGCAAGATAAATATATGCAGGAATGCTACAGTACAAGTAATCGTAACTCTCTTCATGGTTATAGATCAGAACAAAAACTTTTTAGCTCCTCCCTCTTTCTCTTGTTTTGTTCCACTGAACAACCAAACCAGTGTGGAATGCTCCGAATGACTAAATACAGGCCTGACAACTTTTCAATTTAGTTTTGAGTGAGATTCGGTATTTGCCGAGGTCGTTGCATTTTCTGAGTAGGCCTTCTTTGACAATACTTACCGCAGGGGTCGGGTCATCACTCTTTAATCCTCACAAATGTTGTTTAAAAACTTCAGCAGCCACCCTCACAATTATTAAGTGTGTAAATTGGGAGACCAAACCTAACCTGGTGACTGGGAAACACAAAATTCAGACAGCAGGTGAATTCAAAATATTACATAACAGAATATAATGTAGTAGCCTATATAAGGCTTTCAAGCATTCTGTATTTCTTTATTTCATGATTTAGTATTCCCTCCTCTTTTGTGTCTTTTGTTTGGGGAAGTAGACTCTTTAAAAATGATTGTGGCACCTTTTCACCTCAATGATAAATTAAATTTACTTAATTTATAAACTCCTGGACTTTAATAGCTTCCTTGTTTCAACAGGTTTTCTGCCCACATTGAAAAAACACGAGCCAATGTTAACAATTATATTTGTTTTGTACTACATGAGAAAACTGATGGTGTGAGAGCATGTGAAAAATGTCAATTGTGCAAGTCATGCTCAATGCGTGAAAAGTTGGCAGCTCTGATAAATAAATAAGATAACATTTAACCTGATGGTATGATCTCGGTCTGTCATCACACACAACCGGCCGCATGTGTATACACATTAACACAACGTTCAGTCAGTGAATGACTGTGAGTGGTCGACCAGTGGGGAGAAAAAATGCACAGGAGAATGAGAGAAAGGTAAGACGACGCATTAATAGTATAAAAACCAGAAGGAAAGTGCTCCTAAATGCTACAATTACATATTCACGAGTAAGGGACATGGTGTTTTGAAAAGACAAAACATAGGCTTCTAGCAGTGGCTGCCCTCATATCACACCATACCAGGGCATCCTTGTAAAAGAGATTAAAAATCTCAATGGATTTCTTTCCTGGTAAAATAAAGGTAAAATAAAATAAAAATCACAAGTTAGCAGAGCTTCATGATGACAGTCCAGTCAGAGCTCTGAAGAAATTGAGGTGCAAAACAAACCCTCCAAAAGTGAGCACAAATTTTAGGCCTATGTAAATATTTTAATCATGTTACCCTAATCGTGCAAGTGCACTTCACTAACTCTTGAAAGTGAAGACTCTTGACTTACTTTAGCTATTTGTGTTTTTTAAACTAAAAGTAAAATGATGTTACATGTCATAAACAGAAAATATTTCAACCAAACACTTACAGTATACTTATTCTGTTGTGAATGAAGTAATGTCCTGGTATGAATTGTTATCATACCTAAAGGACAGATAGGTTGATTCCCAAAACAACACTGGCAGCAAGTCCCAGCGACAGGCATAGCAGACCTTATGTTGTGTAACGTGACATGAAACATGTAGTCAATGTTGTGAAACAGTTGTAGTTTGGTTAGTTTAGGCAAGAAAAACCTTGTGGTTAGTTTGAGGTAAATATTGTGGACTGGGTTTACATCAAATTACAGTTTTTCTCACTTACTTTGGTACATTTCTCGAATCATTCCCAACATTTGCAAAACAGTAAGTGCATTTCTTGAAACATATCAAACAAACAGCACAGCATAGTGGATTTCCTGCAAATGCCCATAACTTGCTCAAAATCCTTAGACTAGCTCTCAAAAGCTAGTCTTTATGTCACTGAACATGTCACAACAAAAGAGCGACACGACGTCGCTCACTCTTTGTACAAACTGAAATCGATATGATAAATAGGACGGTTCCTTTAATGCAAATGAAATATTCCAGTCTTTGCAATAGGATCTGATAGTCAATGGTATCAAATGCAGCACTAAGATCTAATAAAACCAGTACAGACAGCAGTGACAGCAATTGTTTACGAAGATAGTCAAAATGTTTAGTCATGTTATCATTGTAACATTGTACTCTAGTGTTTTCTGATGTAAACTATGGCCAAAGTTTTGATGACAGTGATTGAAAATGCACAAGGCTGCACTTTTTGAATATGGTATATCAATTTCAACAGTATAAAGTTATACATTGCAAGAGATTGGACAGGGATTCAAAGTTACGTTTTTACTGTTTATATATATATGTATATATATATATATATATTCTGCATCACAATGACATGTTGACAGACCAAGAAAAAGACAAGACGGTTTTACAGCACTGCACAGCACAACGGAAGAAATTACAAAATTAGAAATGTAAGCATGTGAAACCCTGCTTAGGCTGATGTTCCTGTCAGGTCACAGATTTTTATCCACATCACAACGAATATCTTCAGAGATTACAGTAAGGAGACATTTACAAAAAAGTTAGACTTTATTTAACTTTGATTTTGACAACGTGTTCAGCCATTTTGCGCGTAGTGACTTTTGCAATGAACTTGTGCCCAAGTGTTTTAGGGGATAAGACTATTAAACAGAGAACCGGTATAATTCATTGTGATCAGCATAACATAACCAACTGATGATGTAGGAAACAGCAGACAATCGTACATAAACATCAATATGTCAAAGCATTTGCAATTTGTTCTAAACAATGAGAAATTGCTTTTATGATGTGCACAAGTGATGAGATGAGGTTGAACAAGTAGTTTTGAGAATTTCAATTCTGATCTGGGAAATGCGAGTGAGAAAAACTGTAAAATGATCATTTAACTTAAAACTTCAAATATATATGGGAGATGTCATGCCCCAATAACAACAGCCCTTACGGGATAGAATCACTTAACACAATGGCAACTGACCTACAATTGAAGATCATAACCAAGCTGGACCCCCAAGATTGCCAAGGCTAAGTGACAAAGAACCCTCTGAAAGTCTGCTAGAAAATGCAGCACTACATGCTATACTACCTAATAAAGCCATACCCAAGACTAATGTTATGTACGCCACAGAAACAGTGAACAGTGAATTACTCCATGAACACTTGGCAGCACAAATGAACCTAGCTGATGGATGGGACCCACGCAGAATGGTTAACCCAAGGACGTACAGTCCTGATCATGAAGGATCCCCAGAAGGGAACAATCCCATCCAACTGCTGGCCAATAACCTGCCTCTGCACAACATGGAAGCTCCTGTCAGGCATCATAGCCACTAAGATGAGTAGGCACATGCAGGGCAGGACTAGGACAAAAAATCGGCCCTGGCATTTGTGGCCCAGGCAGCCCACCAAAATCGGTCGTACACCCCTTACCAATAAACCATGCTTTCATTTAATGGCTCAGATTAGGGGTGTGAAGAAACACTTAGCCCATGAGACGTAACATTGCACAAGATTGGGGCCATGAGAGCAAGACAAGAATATATTTTAATAGGCCTGCTATTTAGGAACAAAAATTGTATTAATGAAATAGGTAGCTGATAGGGGGGTCTGGGGGTCCTCCCCAAAGATATTGAGCATTAAACACTTAATTTCCTTCATTCTGGAGACACTATCTGCACCAAGAAAGCACAAAATTCAGGTGGCAGTTGACATATATGATATATATATATATATCAGAATATAAAGATATAATACAATATAATGTAGTAATCAGTAGCTTATTATTGTTTTGTTCGGACAGCACAGAGTTTTCTTCTATATTGACATTACACTGCAGGCTTATTGTGCAAATAAGCGTAATGAGAGAAGAGTGGGTGGGGGCCAGTAAGAGATCTGATTGAACCGGCCCAGTGCCAGTATAGAAAATTACCCAATGGGCCCATTGTTCATGCTTTATGGGCTGGTTGTTGGCCCATTTTTTAAAAACAGTAATATAAATCAATTATTTACATTACACTGGCCCCAAAGGTGCATCGGCCCACTCTGTATGCTAGATTACCAGTCCAGCCCTGGGCATATGGCTCAATACATTGACAGGGCCCAGGAGGGAATGGCCTGTAATACCAGGGGAGCCAGGCACCAGCTAGTGGTCGATAGAGCAGATAGAGACTGCAAGACCAGGCAGACCAATCTGTGCATCGCCTGGATTGACTACAAGAAAGCCTACTCCTCAATGCCACATACATGGATACTGGAATCCTTGGAAATGTAGAAGATCAACAGGACACTAGTGCCTTCATCAAGAACTCAGTGGGGCTGTGGAAAACAAGTCTGGAAGCCAACTCAAAGCCAATTGCTGAAGTCGCCATCAAGTGCGGCATATACCAAGGTGATGAACTATCCCCGCTGCTGTTCAGCATAGGCTTGAACCCCTGAACCTCTGTGTTTTGTCCTTTCTCACTCTGGTTCCTTGGCCCTCAAACAGGATCTACATACAAGCTTTCCCTAGACCTTTCTACTGTAGCACATAGTCTTTGTTAAACTGCTATTTCCAAGGTCAAGCATTGGTGATTAAAGTAAGACTGTGTCACTCATGAAAGAAGAAATAAATTCTTTGTCCTTTTACAAATGAAAAGTTCTATAAATGAAAAAGATCTGATTGTGCCACACCCACACAGTCTGATGAAGCTGATTAGCTGAGTTTTTCAGTATTAATATCTTAAGAAATGTTCATTAATAAATAAATAAATTTTTTAATTGCTATTGTATATTTTTTTACTCATGTTATGATGAAACACAAACAATTTTTAACAAAGGTCCTTAACAAATAAGTAATTTGTAAAAAGAAAAAGAATAACTTTGGTAAACCTTTATTGTAGATCATCTTTTTCATGCAATTACAGACAAAAAGCAGATTCACTCACAAGCCTCTGAACCAGAACATTCCTCCAATCACAGACAGTTTGATTAATTACAGACACCTCCTTCAGTGATACATGTGATAACATATCAGAGATTAACATTTACAAACACACTCCACGCTACATGTTGGTTCAGCCTTGCTGATATCATAACCAGCAGCTGGTGGTGGTCCAAACGTGCTGGTTTTGGTTGTTGGAGCAGCTGTGTTGTTTTGGAAATGTTGATCATGCCTTGCTGTTTGGGGATTTTGGTCCAGCTGTGCTGTCTGGAAATGGTGGTCCAGCAGTGATGTTTGGGAATGTTGGTGCAGCCGTGGTGGTTGTGGTTTTTGGTGCAGCCTTAGTGGTTGTGGTTTTTGGTGCAGCCGTGCTGGTTCTGGTTGTTCGCGCAACAGTGCTGGTTCTGGTTGTTGGTGCAGCTGTGCTGGTTCTGGTTGTTGGTGCAGCTGTGCTGGTTCTAGTTGTTCGCGCAACAGTGCTGGTTCTGGTTGTTCGTGCAACAGTGCTGGTTCTGGTTGTTCGCGCAACAGTGCTGGTTCTGGTTGTTGGTGCAGCTGTGCTGGTTCTAGTTGTTCGTGCAGCTGTGCTGGTTCTAGTTGTTGGTGCAGCCGTGCTGTTTGGGACTGTTGGTCCAGCAGTGCTGGTTCTGGTTGTTGGTGCAGCCGTGCTGTGTGGGAATGTTGGTCCAGCAGTGCTGGTTCTGGTTGTTGGTACAGCCGTGCTGTGTGGGAATGTTGGTCCAGCCGTGGCTGTGGTCTCTGCGTTGCCAGAGGCTGTTTTGAGCAGAAAATCTCACATCAGTTTTATATTAAGTCTCACATTTCAAACTAATTTTAGGCAAGACGAGGCAAGTACAGATCTTTATTTGGTATGAAAGTTTCTCTTACCAACAAACAGAAGAAGGACGACACAAATCTTTGCAATCATGGTGATGCAGTGATAGTTTCTCTTCTGTGTTCACTGAAAAATAAAATTGGTTATTTTCAAAAAATGAAAAGCTAGAAATGGTTATTTGCATTTAACAGAAGAGTAAAAGCTGACTTCAATTGTTTGCTCATATTTGAAGCACACCTGTCCTTCACTGAACTGCCAAATAAAATAAAACCTTAAAGCTGCTCAACCAGTAATTAAAAGAAAGACATCAAATATGTGTTTGTGTATGTTGTCAATTATGGTTCTTAAAAAGTTAGAAAATCGGAATCATCCAAAATCAGTATCGGCAGGTCAGACCTTTAAAAAGTTGGTAATTGTAAATTAGAATTGTCCAGGAAAAATGCAATCAGTGCATCTCTAAATAAGACAAAGCCAAGTCTCCTAACCTAGGAGTCTAAGGTTCTCTTAAAATTTTGATAAATGTCATTAAAAAGGAATGTTAAAATAATAAAAACACTTTTTCATACATTCAGTATACTGCACCCAAACATCTCTGAAATGCGTATAAAGATATAAGATGACAACTCTGAATTTTTGCAAAGAAAAACAATTTGCATTGATTTATAGTGAAGTGATATAACAACACAGAAGTACTCACAAGTTAATATTATCTGCTTAAATGATGTCCAGTGCTGTGGATGAAGCTGTGATCTCTCTGATTTCGGCTCCTCTATATAAGCATGTATCAGATGATATCAGACTGAAAACAAAAGTAAGATAAATATGTGCAAGAATGCTACAGTACTAGTAATGATAATTCTCGTCATGGTTGGGCAGGCGAGAGCAAAAGAATTTTAATTCCTCGCTCTTTCTCTGTTTTTGTTTCACTGATAAGATCAACCCAACCAGTGTGGATATCTCCGTACTTATCTTTCTATTAATATACTTTCTGCATTCCAGTGTGTTAAACCTTTCCTCATACCTAAAAGTCTGATAGGTCACGCAATGTGATGTCAAACACGTCAAAGTTGTGAAATTCTTTGGTTTTGGTAAGGTTTAGGCAAGAAAACTCCTTGGCTAGGTTGAGAAAAATATTTTGGTTTGGGTTTAAATCAAATTAAAATTATTATGTAACCTAACACTTCAAACCATCCCCACCCATCCATCTTCCATCCACCCCATCTAACTTCTAACGTAAACTTTCTCACTCTTTAATAGGGACCTGACTTCCTCCTTTGCTCCTGTCATAATTGCACAATACATCTACCAATCATTGTAAAAATGCTACTTACACAGTCAATCTACACTGCCATTATGTTCTCGTTGACGGGCTGGTTAAACCTAATGACTTTACTTGGTTTTTTGACTTCTCAGTTTAACCACAACACAGCGATTCTCCACACAGTGTGTTTATCAGGTTTTTTTGCCTCTCACACCCTGTTGTTTTTTTCAGGTTTGTAACAAGCAGCCGGGCAACTGAGCACAAAAAGGTCCCAAAGACTGACTCAGGGGTATAGCACAAAATTCTGGGCCATAGATATAAGCTGTCTCTGTGGACCCCCTTCCTGTCATCTCATGATCCATGTCACGCATCTTTTGAAAAATGTTTACAAATAATTGAGCGAACACATGACACATGAATCCGTAATGCTGATTAGTATTAGTATTACTATTAGGGATGTCACACTACCAGAAATATAGTAGCCGATATTGATACCTGTGAAATTTCTCGATCCTTGATACCCAATTCGATACCACAGTAAAAAACAAAATATTAAATCCCTTGAATTTCAACATACGCTCCTTTAATAAAAGTCCTTTAACATTTCAAAGAACAACTAACAGCTGTAAAAGTTGTGAGAGGATGTCCAGGACAGATGAGGGGTGATTTAATATATAAATAAATGAGCGAGCTATTGAAATTACAACCTTGCAATGTGTGTGAATTAGTAATTAATTAATTTTCTTAACTTTTCTTTACAAACACACATTTGTGAAATGTTTAAACATGGTCACTATATGTATTAGCATTGGTTTGAGATTTCTGTTGACGATTGAAATGGATTGTATTGCACTTTCAGTCAGAGAGATCACAGCTTCATTCACAGCAGTGGACAACATTTAAGCAGAGAATATTAACTTATAAGTTATTATTCACTGTTCTTCACTATGGTGATATACTGTATATGCATGCTTCAGCTGCAGTGCTGAGGCCTCTTGATGCAGTTTAAACAGCTGTACATCATCGATGTAAAACACAGAGTCCCCCTTCTCTCTTGGTGCACATGTGGACGCCTTGATCTGGAATGTTGATAAGCAGGCCTCTGTAAAGATGTAGGCACAGCAGTGATTTACATTTCTTGGCAAACCTGAGTCCCATTTTTTCCAGACCGGACTAGCCAATCAAAAGCAGAGTAGGGAGGATCCTGATAAGCAACGTAATGTGATCCAAAACAATGCTGTTTCAGTCAGTAACTGTGACTTTGGTTCAGCTGTACGGTCCTGAAACAAAGGCAAAACAACCCCAACCGGCTTTGCAACCTAGACTGGAGCGAGACATTTTAGTGGTAAGTTATTAATTTGTATCAAATTTATCTTCCATATGTGAGGGTTGAGCTCAGCACAGTGCTTCATCACAGGGACCACCTGCTACCGTGTCATTTAAACCAAGTTTACATGACCCCAGACTCACTCCACTCAAGTCCACTGAGTCTGTCTGCGTCGCTGATTGCACTAGAAGCACTGCAGTGCGTCCCAGAAGCCTCCCAGCGCAAAGCAGCACATATCAGTTGAACCAGGCAGAAAGTCAGACTTAAGATCGTATATCAACAATAAACACAGGGCACACAAGCTTCTACGTGCTCTCTCTCCACCGACAGAGATTAGATGGCAGGCGAGAACAGGAACAGGTGAGTGTCACATAGACACAGAGGACCTGATATGGAGAGGGAAGAGAAGAGGACCGGCAGCTTGTAAGAAGTGAAGCCGCACGCGCTTGCACACGTGGGGCCCCTAGCCTGAAGCCTAGGCCAGTGTATGCGTTAATCCACGCTTGCATGCAGGCCTGTCAGACATAGGGGGTTAAACTACGCAGGGGTAATATGAATATGTGTCCTTTTGCATAGTTTTATTATTTTCTTTCTCAACTAGTCTGCCACAGCGGGCGTCTTCCTGCAGCATCCCAGAATCCCTCCTCTCCTCTTCTTCCTCTTCATCTTATACCTTCTGAGACTGCTGTTGGAGCAGATGGACTTCCTCAGAGTAGTAATGTGTTTCTCCTGCTCCCGAATCTTTGACTCCAGGTGGGACTGGATCGCTGTACCCAGGCACTCCAGGTCCACGGAGGCACCGTACACCTCCCATGTCATCCCCTGTTTGTCCCACGCCACCTCCTGTGGCTTCACTATCTCCTCCCCTTCCTCTTCCTCCTCGTTTTGGTCCCTTGTTCCTTTGTCATCCCCTTTCCCCTCCTCGTCCTCCCAGATGCTTTCACCAGTTACGTCTTTGTCTTGGTTTTGTCCGAGTTGTAACTCTGACATTAGAGCAGAGCTCTGCTGGAAGCTGTAAGTACGCAGACAGGCAGGGAGGGAACTAGCCCTGTCAGTCACAACAGAGGGATGCCCTGACTGGCTGCGCAACTCGATGTCGATCTTGCAGATATGCTGTAAAGGCGGCTGGCCAGCAGGGACACAGCGCAGTGATGGGACCGTTGGCGATGTCGAAGTACCTGACTGAAAGCTGGGAGAGCCAATGAGGCTGGAGCTGCTGGAAGCCGAGCGTTCGACCACGTCCACCTCCACTTGAATTCCCACCTCCCTCCGTTCCCCTTCCCGCAGATGGAGCCTCTCACTGTGGTCGGTCATGGTTGCTGTCTCCCTTACAGTCTTGGAATTCGCAGGATGAGTGGAAGGCTGAGGAAGATGATGGAGAGGAGATGAGGGAGAGAGAGAAGAACTCCCTAGACCATTTTTCTGTTTTCCCAGCTTCTTCTTCTCTTCCTTCTTACTCTCCACACCCGTTGCCCTTGACAATGGGATGTCGCTACCAGCAGTGATGGCATTTGCATCTCCCAGGTGACTTGGTTTGCTCAGTGGTGTGCCAGGTGACCGCCCAGCGTTGTCAGTCACACCTACCCCTTGCACAGCCCCCTTGGATACCACCGGTTCTTGTACAGCTGTCACTTTGGTCTCCGGAGGTTTCAAATGCTCTTCCTTGTGGGCACCGCCTGTTTTCACTGAAGTCTTAGTGATAGAATCAAAGGTGAGACCCTGAGTTAGACTAGTTTCATGGGGTGTGCTGCTGGGGTTCGTTTCCACTGCTACAGATCCAACTGCAACAGTAGTTCTGGTTTTGGGGCTGGAGGTGGCCAGAGGAACCAGTGGGCCTGAAACCACAACAAGAAACAACTTTTAGCAAATAGACAAGCTAGCAGCATAATTTATTCTGCTCATCATACATTTTATTTAGTCTTTCCTGTGATTCTCTCAATAACTCTGTATGTCTTTAAATGTGGAAGTCTTTCTTATGCAGCATTCAGACCAAACACGAATTTAATCCACTCAATGCTCTCCTCGCGGGAGATATATCGCTGGACAACTGCCGAGTGTTCACACACAATGCTATAATGCAAATAAACACCACTCGCCATTTCTTCAGCTGTATGAACCCAAAGTAAACATTTTGCTGTGATTAAATAGCAATAAACGGATCAAACTGATGCCGAAATAACTACAATATGATGCAGATTTGTTAAACATATGAATTCATGCTTTGTTAGGTATAGCAGATTTTCAATCTCCTGCTCTGCCCTCTCCACACAACACTCTGAAGCCGACGTAGGGACAATCTCAACGTTGATAGGCTATCGCAACTCAGCTCAGAGTTTAAAATATTCAACTCGCGTGAATTCCTTCGCTTCGCCGACACCGTCCCCTTTGTGTCACTTCATGCCGCCCGACAAGAAATCGCGGCTCTTTGCATTGACTTTATATGTAAAATCACCGCCCCGAACGCTCGCTTCGCTTTTGGTCTGAAAACACCATTAGTCTGAATCTTATGACAAACCAAAATTTTTTGGCCTGGATTTTATATGGTTCGTATTTACACTATCTACTGTAACTACAGAGGAAGGAAACTCTGATGTTCAGTCACAGCCGTTCATCCATCAACTTTTCACGTATTACTGAGGACCCAATGGAGTACTGTGTCAAATTTGGTTCAATTTGGCCACACGGTGGCGCCATAACAACAAACATTACATTTTGTATTGTCATGAAACGGTCGCAGTTTGGTTAGATTTCGACAACAAAACTACTTGGTCAGGTTTAGGAAAACATTGTGGTTTGGGTTAAAGTAAGTAAATCACGTAAATCTTCTGACAAAAGTCACGGAAGTCATGTTACAGAAGTCAGTAACATAAGTTCCTAGTCCCTAATGCTATTTAAGTTAAAACTCAAAATTACCATCCAACAAATCCATCCTACCTCTTTGCATGGACTTTCTCGCTATTTATAATGTGTCACCCAGCGTCCTCAATTGCTACAGTTGTACAGCCACTAGAGGTCACTGCCACAACAAACCTAATAAACCTAACAATAAGGTAATAAGGCGTTTCAGGTTAACAGCGCCACAGTGGGCAGGTGATGGGTGTGTTTAAAGTCTTTCTGTTCTCTGAAAGGCGTCCTGGCACACGTATACAGTCACAACCGACGGGCTGTAAGCCTAGCATGCTAATACAACATAAACA